GAATGTGTTTGAGAGTGACAAGATCCTTGCATTATCATTTCTCCATTATTCAGCTGATTAATGCCTTAAAATTGGAGTGCTGATGATTGAAGGTTGAGAATAACAATAATAATCATGAACACTGTGTTTCTGTTGATCCTTCACTACCTGTCTTTGACTATCCTGAATTGCAGCCTTGTAGCTAGATTTAGAGAGGAAACCCTTTTAAAAGATTAAAGAGGGAACAAGAGTTTTCTGAAATGCTGTACTTGCTTGAGTTAGTTATTTTGTTTCTACTGAAATAACAATGATGGGTCTATTTTTAAGGGATTCTTCAATTTTACGTCCAGAAGGCCTCGGCATCTTCTGCAAATTTTGGAGCTTGGTTATAATGTCATGTACAACGATGTTGATATGGTTTGGTTAGCAGATCCATTTCCATATTTGGAAGGAAAGCATGATATATACTTCATGGATGACATGGCTGCGGTGAGTGCTAAAGAGGATGCCAATGCTTTAACTTTTCCTTGTATAGTTTTGATAAACCTAATGGTTGAGAAGTTTTTTTGAGAAAGGTTCCTTTTTTTTTGGTTTTGAGAAAGATTGGTTGATAAGTTAAATTAAGAAGGTTATGGTCCATGATTGAATGTACTGCTTAATTTATTGTGGTGGAGGTTCTTAACTTGCATCTCTTGGTTCACTCTAAAATTATCTGATTTAAGCATTGTGGCAAATTACTATTTACTTTTACTTTTCCTTTAAGTTTTAACTTCTCTACTCTTTTTTTACTGGGAAGATAGGTCATTTTCTGTTAGTTATGATAATTTTTGTTTGGTTCCATCAATTTATATTTATTGTCTCGACATTGTGGATTGGATTGTTAGTGATGAAAAGTCTGATCTCTTTCTTTCTTTTGGACAATCAGGTAAAACCTCTGAATCACTCTCATGGTTTGCCACCTCCAGGGAAGAAGGGTCGGCCTTACATTTGTAGCTGCATGATCTATGTACGACCCACCAATGGAGCAAAACTAGTTATGAAAAAGTGGATTGAGGAAATGCAGATTCAACCATGGACCAGGGCAAAGAAATCTAACGACCAGCCTGCTTTCAACTGGGCATTGAACAAAACTGTTGGACAGGTGCATTGCTTTCTTTTCATTTCATATTCTACTTCCGTGCTTCAGCACCTACTGCAAGAAACTTCATTTGTGTTGGAATCTGTTGTTGCCTTTTCATTTCATGACTTATAGGTGTTGGTTCTTCCATGGGTCATTGAGTGGTTTCGGCGGGACATGTTAAAAATGTTGGGCTCATTTCAGATCCAAAATTAAGCCTGATCAAAACTTAAAACTAAGCTAGTTTCTCAAGTAGCATTATTATTCTTTGAAGCCCCACGATTTAGGAATGTATAGACAACTTCCTTTTATGTTTTAACCCCTCCCTTTCTTCATCCGTCCTTTGTTTTTCCCTCATTTTCTCTTTGTAGTGTATCCCTGTTTGCTGACTTATTATAGGCTGATTTTTATGTGATTGAGGTTGAAGAAGCGATTTGAAAATTAGATGTTAGAAAATAATCTGATCAATGCAGTTGCTTGGATCTTGTTTTGAAGGCAAATTAATTGGTTGTGGAATTAGGCAGCATTTCTGTAATAAATAAGCTGCTGTTTACTTGCTGCTATTTCATTATGATTGCTATTTTAATGACCTGCACCAATTTAGCTTTTCTATCTTTTCCAAAATGCTCACCTCTTGTATTCATGGCGTCATACTTGTAATGTAGGTCCAAATAGGTAATTGGTAATTGCACGCAACTGTCAGGAACCTTTTGAGCCTTAGTATGCTCATGCCTATAACAGCCACAAGAGGACTTCATGTGGTGAGTAGTGAGAGTTAGCGAAGTGCCAAAACCCTGTGTGCTACTACTTCGAAGAGCAGGTAATTTGACTTGAACCTGTCATAGAGGATGTTTCCTCTCGCCTAGGAGCCGACAGACCTTCAACTGCCTTAGAAGTAAAAAAGGAGCGACTCATTGCTTATGGATCATCAACACACTGGCTAAAAAAAGTACATAAGGGATACTATTTCCATTTATCATGTGAGCTAGTCATACCAAGATTGATGAAAGAGAAAGAAATGAACTAGCTTTAAACTTATTGGCAGACTAATGCAACTAAAATTACTGGATCAAAATGTTGTCCAATTTGGGATTATTTAGATTCTGTTGGGTTAAGAGAATGAAATATGCTTGCTTTAATTGTATAGGCCAAACTAGGAATCATTTAGTCCTCTCTTTTTCTGGTCTGCTTTCTGCTGGGCGCTCCATTTCAGTGAAAATATAAGTTAGACAGGATTTTTCAACTCTCAACCGAATCAAACTTGAATTAGATGGGATCAAAGCTAAAATAAAAGTGTGATATGATGTATCACCAAATAGATATACAAATAAAAGTGGGACATCTCAGACCGAATTATGAAAATTGTCAGACCTCTACTCTATGCAAAGCCCACATGAATTTATCTCATCCAGTTATCACAGTCTTGGAACATGAATATGGTTATTTTTAACCTTCAATGGACGCACTAACATTATCAGAGTCTGGTTTTCTGGACAAGTTACCGGTTTCAATAAGTAAATAAAGCAATACCAGAGTTTGATCATAGCTTTTGCACTCGTCCATTTTCTTTTTCTATTTTGTGACCGTGACATATGCAACAGCTCTTCCAATTTTTGTTGGGCTGTTTAGTTTAGTTTTGCTCTCTTTTGCATCCTATACTTGTTTTTATTATTCATATTTCATTTTTTTTTTTGGTTATTATATTAGTTACCTTTGATCAGGATAGGCAGTTTAACTTGTTTGTGTAATACATGACATTGTTGCAGGTCGACATGTATCTGCTTCCGCAATCAGGATTCCCAACGGGTGGTCTATACTTTAGAAACAAGACTTGGGTGAAGGAAACCAAGGGAATGCATGTTATTATTCATAATAACTATATAGTTGGTTTTGAGAAGAAGACAAAACGTTTCCGTGATTATGGTCTCTGGTTGGTGGATGATTATAGCTCTGAATCCCCGCTTGGCAGATTAGACTAGATAGGAAGAAGGTAAAAAGAACTCATGATGTCCTTTTGGCAAACCAACGGATCAGTTATTCGAACAGCAGCAGTATAACTTCCAGCTGCAGACCAAAGCTGTGTCTTCCTCTTGGAAGTTTTAGCAGCTGGTGCCCATGCATTACCAATATCTCAATCATTTCAGTGAGTTGACATATTCTGGGTTGCTAAGCAGAGCAAGCTGGAGTGTTCCTTCCTAAATGCATAGATTTTGTAATTCCAGCCTAGATTTATTGAGCATTCTGCTATTGTTTATCTAACATTTGCTTTGATCTGGTATAAAAATGAGTCAGTCGCAATATAGGGACTCCAAAAATTGCTCTATTCTTCCCTTTTTTATACTCCAATATTCATGTGTACAAGACATTTGTGAAATACTGAATGAAATGATTGGGCAACATGCTAATATTGCTCCAAGAGTGTTATCATTTCATTTTGGTTAGTGAACAGAACAACTCAAGCTTGAACAGCATCTCTTTTTCCAATTTTCAGTGAGATGTTTTACTGAACTAGTGCATTTCATATTGGTTTGCAAGCCTAAACATGGATTTCTTTTTTCTTCCCTTTCTCCCTAAGCATTCATTATCATTCACAAGATTCTAAAGATATTTTGATATGTTATATTTGCCTGTGGGTTGTAGCAGAAGTATTTTCTTTCTTTCTTTCTTTTTTAAAGTCTGTGCTTAGTTTAAAAACTTACATAAAATGAAGTGGCAAGAGTCATGATTTTTCTTTTTGTCACATTTAACTAATTCATACAATGAACATCAAGAATATTTTACTTTCTTTAGACATCTAATTTTTCTTCGAAGGAGAAAGTAACAACCACCGTCATAGGTTCCTATCTTTCCAACTCTATCGTGAATGGTTTGCCTACTCCTCTTCACTTCTCTGCTCATCTGCTTCGACTATTGGTCTAGAAATGGCTGCGAGAGACTAAGAGCCCGCTTTGGTTCTTAGCTGAAAAAATTTTTAAATATAATATGAAAGCATTTTTGTCGCTTAAAACTTATTTACAAATAAGCAAATTGTGTGTTTGATAAAGAAGGGCACCAAAAAAAGCTTATCAATGCTGCTGAGACAAAAGTCAGCTGTTAAGTACTTATTTTGGATCAAATGACTGAAATGCCCTTAAAGTTGTTAACACTATAAAAAATAAATTACTATGATATTTTTATTTCTACAAATAATTAAAATTTTTGAATTTTTAAATTTTTTAATATTTGAAATTTTATAACTTAATATTCTTTTTTCTGTTTTTATATTTTTAATTTTAAAATATATAATTTTAAATAAGATTAGGCAAATCTCCTTTTTACTTTTTATGAGTATAGTTTTATTTTTTATTTGTAAAATCAAATAATAATTAAATGAATTAATACTACCTCAATTAATTTTTTTTATTTTTTTTATTTTTTTTATGTTTTTTCTTTTTTTTCTTTTTGGGCTTAAAAATTTGAGTGTTTTTGCTTTGTTTAAAAAAATTAACAAATTAATTGTATGTTTTCATTTTTAAACTATGAACGAATGAGTTATAAATAAAGTCAAGCAAGGTTATAATGAGCAAGTATAAGAAGAGAGATTTTTGCGCATCTTAGAATGCAAGATGCGGCCACTCCAAAGAGAAGTAGTAGTGTCTTGCTTTTTATTTCCTTGATAAGAATTTTGAAATTGGTAGTAATAAGTATTTAAGTGATAAAAAGTAAATTAAGGTCAAATATAATGGCTTATAAGCTAAAAAAAAAAGTTGAGTTTCACCAACTTTATTTTAACTTATTAACAACTTTTAACTTTTTTTTAAACTTATTAACTTATTAAAAAAAAACTTTGAAACTTAATTAAATGTATTATGTATGAACAAAAGATTGAAGTTATCAAAAGGTAAACTTGCAAAAGTTATAGAACTGCGTCTGCTGAGCTGAACCGGTCAATTGCTTGGAAGGCAATTATCCTAACCGTTGGACTACAGACGCCTTGGTTGTTAAACGTTTGTATATGTTGCAAATGACGCATTTTCATTTTAACTTTAAAATAAACAGATTTTTTATTTATTTTTATATGTTTGATGTGTAAGTAAAAAATATTTATATATAATGTAAACAAATATAATGTGAACTAAGGTAATAGTAGGATGCGGGTGGTGGATGAGGGTCACGAAATGAACAAGATAAAGTACAGCTGGAATTTGGAAAAGTCGAGAGGATAATATCAACATTTATAAAACTTATTTTCCTTTCTTTTTATCAAAAATTTAATTCTTTTTATTTTGAAAACTTATTTTTTTAAAAAGCAAATATTAATTGTGGATCTTGCTTAAATCCTTATTCTGTAAAACGATTTGTTACAGCAGTATTGTTAGCTCTACAAATGACGTTTGAATTTGGCAGGATAATTTTTTTAATACAAGGCTAACCAATACTATTTTAATAATTTCTAGTGGATATAATAATAATAATAATAATAATAATAATAAATCTCGCAAAATGCTGTCACTGGATTGAATCAATTATATAGTGTCCAATAATTATTTTTTCATGCACGCAAAATTGTGTGGAGTACTGGTGTCGACTACAGTTAGCTAGCCACAAGGATTCATTATACATGAGATGTCATATTCCTCACTGTTCTAATATTTTATTTTGTCTAACCTACCTACTTAGCTAGCTACTTGTTTCTAATATAAATATCCACAACTACAGATTATAGAATCCTTCTAATTATCTACTGCTTCTTATACCTCGTGATATAAGATTTTTATATTTATTTAGATTGAATACATATACGATCCTTTAAAATTATTTAAAATTTTCATTTAGACATCTGAATCATTAATAGAGAATGCGTATCTCCCACTCCTTAGCGCGTTGAATGACTTTAAATAGCTAATTTATTTTTGCTTTTGCTTTTTCTATTGTTTTTACAGTTTTACTTTTTTTCTCTGGTTCTCTCTTTCATCTTCACAAGATCGAAGACTAAGGCCTCCTCGCTCTCCTTAATTGAATGCCTTCTAAAAGTTGGTCTGTCTCTTCATTTATTTTAAAATAGAAAGATTGAAGATAAGAGATCAAAAAAATCAATTGGTGAGAAAGAGTGGGAATGGAAAAAGAAAAACTGAATTGAAAAAATTAAACAACGAATTCAAAGGCAAGAACGAAGTCAATTTTTTGGCAAGAGTTCTCTTCAAATCACAGTGAAGACCGTTGACAATACTTTATATATTTTTTCGTGTTAATATATGATTTCAGTTGAATTTTATAAATTTGTATTCATATTACAAATTCTGCCATTGTTAGGGTTGCAGAAGAAAGAAGAAAAGGGGAGAAGAAGGAGAAAGAAGCAAGAGAGAGAAGAATAATGGACTTGTTCCTTTGCTTGCTTAGAATTGAGCTTCTGACAGGTGCTCACGCCGAAAACTTGAAGAATTGATACTGAAGGAGCCTCAAGTGATTTAATGATGATAGAGGAAAATTAAAATGGAGGAAGAACGGCTTTAAGAGAACACGAGGTTTTCCTGATTTTGACTCATCACTTTTTCTTTATTAAAGACATGTTTTTTGTCATTGGTCTTATTTGCCATGTTGGCAGCAAGGATATACACTCACTTAGTTTGTTTGAGCTGCGAAACACAGTTCCATCTGACTTCAAATGTTTAATAGGCAAAAGGTTAAGTTTAGATATCTATCGGCAATTTTAAGAGATCGTGTGTGTTCAGTCATTTATTTATCTAGTTTAATATAATACTTAAAAAGGTGAAGAAATTAATTTTTAACTTTTTTTCATGTCATGTCATGTCAAGATATAACAATAAATGATATTTTTTTTTATAAAAAAGCACAATTTGATTGATTTTTAAATTTTATATTTAAAATGTATCAAAATATTCTTTTTTTAATTTTATGGTATTAAATATATAATGCGAAAAAGTAAAATTCAAAAGTTGTTAAAAAAAGAAGGTCAAATAATTAGATAACGCCTTAAACTTGGCATATCTACAAGATAGACACTCAAACTTACATCAGACAAACACTTAAACTTGGCCAAAAGAGAAAAACATAATTTTTATAATTTTTATAACCAATTAGTTATAAGGACACATGTAAATTTAAAAACTTAGCAAATACACACACACACATATATAAAGTAGGCTTACAACCTGTAAATTCAAAAAAATAGATTCTTCAACTCCTTTGGCTTTTACAAGCATAGCTGAGTAAGGGTGTTCATAGTTCGATTTAGACTTGGTTTTGATCAAAATCAAATTAATTTAGCTCTGCTTTTTAAAATCAACAAAATAAAAATCACTCTGCCTGATTTTTGTCGCCTTGGCTTGATTTTTCGGTTTATAACTAGCTAACGTATAACTGACAGAATAAAACAACGTAGATATGAGATAAGTATTAGAAATCAACAAATTTCTCTCTACTATCACAAGATGAATGTATCTAAATCTTCTATTATTTTTCAACACTATTTCAAAGGTTTGCATGTTTAAGTTGTATTAATCGTAGTATATGCTTCTTCCCCTTCACATATCTAATATCCAAACAGAAATAATATACAACTTTAAACAACGCGAATCCAAAGTCAAAGGGTCAAAATGTTGATTTGAGTTAGGTTTGATGTCTTAGCAAAAAAAATTAAAAATCGGCAATTAGACTTAGAGTGTTGGGTTTGGACTTATTTTTGCAAAATAGAGCTTAAAGTATTGTAGTGCATGTGAAATAAAGTATACCAAAATCATATTAATGATTGTAAAATATAAAATATTTAAATTATTTATGAAAAACTAATATTAAATATTAAAATAATTATAAAATTTACATATAAAATTTATACGTCCGACGGTTATTTCTTCAATTTTTTCTAAATATAACCCAAAACAAACTAAATATTATCAATTTTTAAAATTTAAAACCAAATCAAAACCAAATGTCATTTTTGATTTTCCACCAAACCATGAACACTCATACTTAATGTTGAGGTAGTGCGTAAAAAAAGCAAAATCTAATTATTTTTTCAACCTTTGTACTTTTAAATTAAAAATATTTTTAATTTTAATTAAATTACATGTTTTTTTTGTTTTTTTAAATATTTAATGAGTTTTTTTTATATTTATGATTTTTTTAATATATTATTTTTTGAAATGATATAGAAAAAAAAGTAAGATAAACAAAATTAAACGAAAGAAATAATTTGTTTAGTCAAAACTTTAAATTTTGCTTATTTTAAAATTACTTTATTATTACAACTGTTTCAAAAATATTTTAAAGAACAATAATTTATATTTAATAATAAATTTTAAAAAGCGTTTTTATTAATATTTAGAGGAAGCAATTTATGTTTGGATGCGATATGCAAACATTCAAGAAGCTAATTTTAAGACAATAATTATTTATTTCAACTTATGAAAAATAGTTTTTATTACAATTCAAACATATTTATTTCTATCATACAAATTTGATCAAACATGTTAATTCTCTAACTAATTATTTTCTTGAGAAACTTATTAAACACGTTTTTTATTTAAGAGAATTTGTTGAATTAGATTAAGTCGAATTAACATATTATCTACTATTATTTAAAATTAAATATGTGTTCTTGTTAGATTGTTTTGATTGAAAGTAATATATATATATTTAATATGTAAGTTTGAAAAAGTATATTTTTTGAGTTGACATGAGCCCAATTTTCCTTTCTGGTCCATTTTTTACTTGCAATACAAGCAATAAAATGTTGAAATTTGAAGAGAAAAAGAAGGTAATCAAGCATATAAGATCACCACTGACTTTCAAGATAATCATGACACTCTCAACAAATGAAATGTAAATATTAAGCATGACTTTATACAATTATGTACTTTCATTTCTCCTCCTTTTGATTCCTAAAGCAAAGTAGGAGTAATATCATTGTGTACTCAATAAAACAAAGAGAAATATCATCCTCACAAAATTTGGAAAATAAGAAGAATATTTTTTAATAATATTTTTTAAAATAAAACACAAAAGTATTAAAAAATACAAAAAAAGTAAAGATAATTTTAAAAACTCAAAATTAATTTAAAAAATTTTTTATATATAATTTAATATAAATATTATTATGACAGAAGAATAAAAAAGTAGGATGAAGACGGTTGTTTGGAGGACACAATCAATTTAGAAACTTATTTTTTTCTATTTTTACTAGAAAAAATAATTTTCATATTTTTAAAGAGCTTATTTTCTTAAAGAATATGTTTTTCAAATATGTCGATCAACCAAATATAGAAAAATTAAAAATATTCTCTCTTACTAAACACATCCTTAGTTAAATTATTAAAAAAGGAAATAATGATCCAGTAGTTATAACATCTCATATGGTAATTTATATGCTAATGCTAATTAGGGGTGGACATAATTTTGGGCAACCAAATTCACAAATGAACTTTTTAAATATTTGAGTTGGATTTTTATTTTATGGATTGGACTGAATTTTATTTTTGTAATTTATAAATTCTAAATTGGATATCGAATTTATTATTATGCATTTGAATATCCAAAGTTTATGTCTTATACTCACCCTACCCATATCATATATTTTTCAATGTTAATAAGTCCAAATTCAAGAGGTCCAGTAGATCAATACCCTATAGCCCTACCCATATAAGATTAAGTTAAATATGAAATTACATCACATGGACGGCAGAATGACCTCAATCTTTATTAATTGTAGAAAGTTATATATTATAAGGAGCAAATTATTAGGTGAATTGAAGATTGTTGATTGTTATGGTCTGCCTTAAAGACTCAAGAGTCAAAATAAAAATTCAAATATTCGAATCAATTACTTAAAAAGTTAAATTTAACTCCTAACTTATTTGAATTCGAATTTGAATTGTAATATATTTAATCCAAAATCAAAAAATTTAAATAAAAATTTTCATATTCAATTTGAATGACCATCACTTCTTTAATACTATGTTGTTAACTACTAGTAT